ACAGCGGCGACTGAAACTAGTGAACTTTACAATGATTACCTCTTAATTCATTAATTTCAGCTGCTGTCATTTACAGTACTGTAACGAACAGCCTGCCAGATGTAATAAGTTTTATCTGGCCTGCAATATTCTACTGTACAATCTAAACAGCAATGAAATTTCGTTTTGTTTGCTCTGGTTTTATTTTGCACTTCAGTACTGACAATAGAAGCATCGTCGAAAAGCAGCTTCTTAGGTTAAGAGATAAATGTGTAATGAATTATTTTTGCTAGTGAATTTTTAACAGATGTGAGAACTTTGAAAGTGCAAAACTAATTTCTACCTTTTGTTAAAAAAAAAAAAAGTTGTTCATAAACTGCTGGTTTCTCTTTCTTTCATTAACTTAATGGGTCTTACTGAAATCATTTCTCTCCATTTGTTTGCACTAATTAATGATAACGGTGCCTTTTGATATTCCTAATTTGGTCAGGAAGTTAGAACTCATTAATGCTGTTTGCTCATTACTTTTTGTGTATTTCAAAAACGTCAGCTTCTGACGTTAGAGCTGTTTTAAACTAACGGCGTGTAGTAGTGTTTAACTAGCAGAACATTTCAGACTTTCCTCCTATTTCAACGATGTTTCGTGTAACCAAGCGTTTGCTGCCGGCCTTGTGGTGGACATGCCTCATCATTTTCAAGAAAATAACATGCGAAGGTAGGTCAAATAGTGAAAACTGCCAATCAGATTTTGAGAACGGCGTATTGGGTTTTCATGAAAAGGGCATATCCGATTTCTACGCTACAGCAAGGCTATCATATAATAACCGATTCTTTCCGACTTCTCTTTACTGCAATTTTCCTCATATATTATTCTTTTGATACTTAGCCAAGATAATCAGTGCTAAAAAAACAAGAAGTCATGAACAAGCAGCTAAACGAGGTTGTCTTGATGTACCCACAAATTCTAAAACTCGCATTATGATCATCCTTGAAGACCCAGGGGCGGGAGTCAATAAATCCGGCAAAAATTGAAGAGTCTATAGTAAGACTTTCGACGCGTCAATTTTTGCCGGATCTACTCCAGGGGCCTGTTTCTCGAAGGTCCCGAAAAGTTTTCGCACCCGAAAAGTCGTAGCAAAATCTCAAACCTTTTGAGTACAGAGTTGTTTTATTCATTTATCCTTAATACGAACAGAGGTTCTCTTCATACAAGAAGTTTCAGGCGTGTACACCTCTCTGTCTTTAAATATCGATTAACTAAAAATGGCTTTTCGGACCCAAAAGATTCCGGGGCTCTCGAGAAACGGGCCCCAGCCCCGACTAACTGCCCCTGGGTCTCTGCAGATGATGCAGTATGATGAATGTAGCACCATTAGTAAGAGAGCGAGGAAAAGTTATTGTGAGAGTGTAGCAGGTCAATAGACAGTAAGTATTGATTAAATATGTTAGTGCACTAGGTACAAGGCGGGTCTTTGCATGTCTGGAATATAATTCAAATAATACTGAGAATACATTTTCCTCCAAGCTATTACGTGCAATTTATTAATGATATTCTATTTTTTTCAAAATGTGCGTTATAGTGGAGGTGAATGTTGACATGCAAACAAAGGCAGCAAAAGTGACTTAATGCAGTGCAAACAATGAACAAATGGCATTTTAAAAGTCAATCAGTCCTTCAGTCAAAACGTCAAATTCGTCGACCTATCGGTAAAGCAGTCAGTCAATCAATCTTTAAATCAATCAACCAACCAATACATGAATCAATCAATCAATCAGTTAATCAATCAATCAAACAATCAATTAATTAGTCAATCAATCATTCAACCAACCAACCAACCAATCAATCAATCAATCAATCAATTAATCAATTAATCAATTAATCAATCAATCAATCAATCAATCAGTCAATCAATCAGTCAATCAATCATGCAATCAATTAATCAATCAATCTACCAACCAACCAATCAATCAATTAACCAATCAATGAATAAATCCATCCATCAATCATTCAATCGATCAATCAATCGATCAATCAATCAAGCAGTCAGTCAGTCAGTCAGTCAGTCAGTCAAACAGTCAATCAACCGATGGACTAATCCGCGCAGTGTAATGGACTAATCCGCGCAGCATAGCGCAGATAGCACGGGGGTTATAAATGACTTCTTCGAAGGCTTCTTACTAGACAGTTACGARGACTATTTTTCTCATCTGTGCACACTGTACAAGAGCAGGAGRGTGAGTTACGAGACCAATAAACACGAAAATCATTCTGAAGGCCTGCATAATGTTAGTCGTTTATCACTGAGTAAGCTTCTCAGCTGCTAAGAAAAGGAAAAATATTGTTACAATGTATGTTAATGCGGAAATAGCGTAACATTAACTGTGTTTCAACACTTTCGTTTCAGCTTGTATCTCATACAGCTTTCACCTTCGCCACGGTAGCACTGGAAACTTTAGTAGCCCAGACTATCCTAACATAACGCAAACAAAATTCAACTATACCTGGATTATCTCTGTCCCTGAGGATCATCACGTGCTTCTAACTCTGCACATCCCAGCCCCTCTTCCTCAAGCCGGTTCATGTTGGATGAATATTCGTGATGGGATGTTTCCGTCGAGCCGTCATATTGGACAATTTGATAGCGCGATGGGCATTTTTCCAGCAAAACCTTGGTCAGTGTTATCCTCAGGAAAAGATCTCGGGGTAAACGTTAACACGTGCAGATTCAACCACAGGCCCATAATTTGTCATTTTTCCTTCAAAGCAGTCAAAACGAACGAAAGTAAGTCATTAATGACAGCATTTTTTTCAACGTTTTGACATAATTTTTTTCCAGTTCTCTTCATCAAATTGCAGAAATTCTTGAATGTTTACATTCCATAAGCATTTTGGTTTGACTCTGTAGTAATTTCCGTTATTTCTAGACTTTTTGATAATATAATAAAATCCAAGTTTTTGGACTCAAGATGGCGGATCGAAAGACGTCTTTTGACGTCATATGAAGGCATAACTTACAAAATGGTGTTATTTTGTATAAAAAGCTTAGGGCTATCTACCCAATGTAAATTAATTTCACTGTGCCGTAACAGAGCGAAAACCGAGAGGAGGGATTCCATCCACCCCTCCTTCCCTTAGCACGGTGGGGTATTAGTTTGCTTGTACGTCCGAGGGTTAACAGATAT